ATTAATTATGTTGTTTTTATAAATTAAGAAAAATAAAAATAAAAATTAATTTATTGATTAATAAATATCATATTATAGTGTGTATATATATATAATATCATAATTAAATCCTTACAAATTTAATTATAAAAGAAAAAATAAATTAGTGGGTCCTATTGACCTCCCCATGATGCGTACAATGGCCATTAACCTCTATTCCATTAATCTCCCTTCATAATACATGATGCATGTAATGGCTCTCATTAACCTCCCCATTAACCTTCATTGGAGATGCTCTTAGCTTAACAATAAAGGGCGCATTTGGAATTTTTTAAATCATTTAAGATTTTATGAAAGGATTTAGGGGATGTTTAATCGAATCTTTTAATCAACTGAAATGATCAATTCTGTTTATCAAATTTTTATATTTTTCTTAAAAAAAATGTTTATCAACTTATGTGGTATCAAACTGGAGTTTTATAAAAAGTATTTGGATTAGGTTACGCCGGTATCAAAACGTAATAAGTTGATTTTTAGTGTTTGACAAATTTTGCTTATACATGTAAAATGACACCCCTCTGTCCTCGTCCAATAAAATGGTTTTAAATAGAAGACCATGAAGCAATCGCAACAGAAGAAGAGAATGTCGATTTTGAAGACGAAGCAATCGTCTTCAAAATGACAGCCTCCTCCGTCCTGACATCTGTAAACATAAGACCATAAAGCAATCACAACATATTGGAGCAGAAATGTAAACAAAAGCAGATAAAGGAGAAGTTGTGCCTTCCACTGTGATCGTCATTTTTGTGCCTTCCCATTGAATCATGTAGAAGTAGAGAAGGTCGATTTTCCATGGAATGAAGAAGCTGGTCGATTTTGCAGTGGAAAGTTTTAACTCACAAATCGATTTCGATTTCGATTTTGTAGGTGAAGGTCGATTTTTTGATTTTGCAGGTGAAGGTCGATTTTCGATTTTGCAGGTGAAGGTCGGTCGATGTTGATGAACCGGTTGCTCGAATGTGATGAGAAGGTATTAGGTTTATGGTTAAAATGGTAAATTGGTTTTCAAAGCTAATAAATTGAATCTGATAAGTAAGAAACTTCTAACTTATTAAAAACTCTTTATTACCGGTTTGGCAATGATATAAGCATTTATCTTTTTCTCCATCCAAACACTAAAAACTGCTTATTACCAACACAACACCGGGATAAGTCAATAAACAGTTTAAATAAGCAATTTCAAAAACCCCCCTTAGACGTTTGGTTTATTTATGGAATGAGATTGAATTCCTCACATTACACAATTCATGGATTTGGTTATTTCATCCCCGTTGATAATCAATATCATTCCATCTCATTTTCTTAAAAATGCGAAATTATCATCATCTTCCCTACTTGATTTACCTAGGAGGCTAGACCTATATGACCTTCATTTGAACCACCGTCGACTACCACCTATCTAAACCTCCGCCGACCACCACCATTTTGAACCACCACCACCAATATATAAATCACCACCCATCTAAAACATTGTTCTGAATCACCGCCGAACACCATTGAGTGAAAGACCTGACCATCACCAATTTGAACCACTGTCGACCACCGCCGAACACCATAGAGTGAATGACCTGACCATCACCGATTTGAATTATTGTCGACCACCATCGATCTGAACCACCACCGACCACCACATATATGAACCACAGTCGACCACCGATTTGAACTACCACCATTATAAAAGGAGTATTTTGGTCATTTACTCGTTTACTCATTCCAATTCTGAAACTACATTCCACCAACCAAACAAACATATTCCAAATCACTTAACAAGTTTCATTCAAATTCATTCCAACCAAACAGGCAGTCAAATTCCATTTCAATTCATTCAAAGTCAAATTTCTTTAACAGATTCAGTTACTTCAGAAAAACATTTTGCGAACCAAACGTTCCCTCAAATAATTGAAAATTGTCCAAAATAAATAAGGACGAGTAAAACCCGACATGATCCAAAGAACCTGGCCAACCGAACTGAGTTTTTGGATAAAACCGATACTTGATTGTATATAACCGGTTGTAGTGTTTAGATTGGGCTTGCATAATGGCACTCGAACTTTTTAGCAGCTTTTTATATTTGTTGTTTTACATGGTTAATCACTTGATTGTTTTTTGCGATTTTTGAGTACATGCAAGTCATGGTTTGGGTTTTTATGATTTACGACTCGAGTTCATGTATGCAGTCATGAACAATTGCACCTCGAACTCATTACTGATTTTTATGATGCACAAACAGTCATTAATATGGTTTACGTAATTTACCAGATGACTAGACGGTATACAGCTTTTATGTGTGAGTTTTCGTCTACAGAAATCTATTCGATCGATTGTTCCCTGTTTTTAATTATGCATTAAATCACCATAATTAAAATATTTTTCATTTTAAATTAATAGTAAATAAACAAAGTCATGGTTATTGATGTTTGACTTTTGAACAAGAAGTGGTCAAAGGAGTAAGTTGTGATCACTTGTGACATTAAGAAGCATTAATGGCAAATTGACCAAAAGTCAAGGGGCATTTATGTAAATAACACAAAGAAATAAGTTTGACTTTTAATTTCAAAGGACAAAGTAGCTTTATGCACCGACTTACCAAATTTCCAATAATAACCACATGGCATGTTTCTCTTCCAAAGTACTATTGGGTTAACCAACCATTTTATCATCATTATTATAAATATTTAAATTTATTTTTTCGGTAATAATTCGATTCATTTTCAATTAGGCCTTAACACCGGCGAGACCTGGGAAGGCAACCCGATTGGGAGTATTTCTCTTTAGGAAAAACAGGGGGAAATATTGGGCCAAAAGCTTTAAGAAAGCTATAGTAAAGGCAAGACTGAATTACCTGGGATGCCTGTGCCCATAAGAAATCGCGGACCGCAGATGGCACATCGAATCCCCGGACGATCGCAGACAAGTCTAGTAGGCAAGGGAATTGTTATAGCAAGCATGAGCTGCCATGGGCATTTTTCTTTCCTTGGATGCTTCTCCGATAGTATCTTTCATCATAAAATAGGTTTCGAGTCGGCTTGTGGGTATCTCACCACATTTCAAGGGTACTGGAGAACAGTCAGAAAAATCTTCAGTGATTTAGCAGAACTCAAAACGACGGCCTCTGAAGAGGATCCCCAAAAGCACAGAGTTGAAATTATGTTCCTGTTATGAGCTTTTTTTTTCTAGCGTAACTGCAGGATATGCTAAGATTTTGGTGGGATTTGAAGTTGGGTTTTATTTCAATCATGCCATAGGTACAGACCCAGTTGTACATACCTCGACAAATTCTAGGGGTCCAAGATAACAGGCAAACAAATATTCACTGGTTTAGAAGAACTTAAAACGACGACCCTTTGAGGAGGATCCCCAAATAGGCATGGCAATGGGGCGGGGATGGGGCGGGTTTTGTAATCCCTGTCCCCGGTTTGTAGTAACGTCCCCCCGGCCCCGGTCCCCGGCGGGTACGAGGATTATCATCCCGTCCCCGGTCAAATCTCTACCAATCCCAATCAAAACCCGGTAAAATCCCGATCAATCCCCATAAATAATATCATTTAGTTTGATTCTACCGAAGATCCCCGGCCCCGGCCTCAGTTTGAGTAACATCCCTCGTCCCCGATTTGAGTGTACCCGAGATCCGCGGCCTCGGGATCCATTTTAGCAGGGAATCCCCGTCCCCGTTCGGATCGGGTGAACCGAGTTTCCCACCGGGCCGGGACAAATCACCATCCCTATCCCCAAAGGCCCACAGTTGAAATTTCGTTTCATTTGTGAGTTTTTTCCAACATAATTGCATAATTTGGTAGGGTATGGTGGGATTTGTACTTGGTTATTTCAATCATGCATTATGTTTTTATGAAAGTCCGGAATTGATATTCA